AGAGGTGAATTGACCAGCAACGAGTTCACTTCAAATTTAATTTTATCGTATCACTATGACTAATGAATTCTGACCGATACATGACTGGTCTCTTAATCAACACTCATATCATCATAAACCCTAAGGGTGCACATGCTCAGTCGTGACCTTGTGACTGATGAAGATTTATATCGAAGTGTCACAATGGCGATCGTTTAGTTATTCTGTTTTGTGTCTCATCAGCTAAATGGATAATTCCAATTTATTGTTCAAATGCTTCGGTCTTTCAGTCAAAAGAAGATGAGAAGGCAAAAAAATCGAGCGGTGAATCGTCAGATAGTAACGAGGATGAATCAAATGACTCAGATGCGAATGCGCATTCCGACTCACATGTTGGAACGTCATCGAACGTGGTGAGTCCGAAACTGTCTCGGTTCTGCCGATCTTTTTGAGTTGCGATCTTGATGTATCCTTATTGAAGAATGCTGAACCAAGTGGTTCTTAAATATCCAATTCACAACAATTTAAACGATCAAATCTTCAGACAAAAGAAACAAACGGTAAGAAGAAGGAAAGTGATTCAACGACAGATACATCAATTGATGAGAGTCTTAATAAGAAGAATGGTGACCAATCGGGCAAGAAAAAGAAACTAACGAAAAAGAGTGCTGTTTCTTCGAAAGATGATGACGATTCGGATGCAGAAGATAAAAGCAAATCCAAGAAGGGGAAAAAAGTAAGTGGAATATTCATTCATCTAGACATTATTATGAAGTTGGTAGCGGTGATTGCGCTCATGAAATAAGTATTTCGGATTTTGTTGAATGTTTCAGCGAGAGAAACCGCCCGAAGATTCGAAAGCGCAATACTTGAAACGATTGAAACATTTGGTTGTTTTGGCCGGATTGCGTTTCAATTACAAGAAAATGTTCGATGGAATTGAAAGTGATAAGAAAAAAATTGATCTGCTCAAAGAAGCGCTAACCAATAAAGGCGTTACGAGTGAGTGCATTGCCTAATTTCATGAACCAGTCGATTGCATCCCACTGATAGTACATTCTTTTTTTTACGAACTGAACGGAATTTTTTCTTCAGAAGTACAAAGAAGTGATTTCAATCAGCATTCAACAGTCATTGGATGATTATAAACTGTAAATCATTATCCTTCTAGAGTTCACTTTCTCGATAATTTTTCCCGTTGCTTGTTGATGACTGAATGAGCAAATTGTCCACAGATCGATAATGTGAAAAACGTTTTTTTAAATATTAAATGATGGCATAAATTTAAATTTTCAATACTTTTTAGCGCTATCAGCAGAAGGTTGTAAAAGTTTCAAACTGAAGCGTGAAGAAGAACAAGAATTGGCCGAATTAAGCAGTAATCGTATTATAGAACCTAACACCAGTTAGTTTTTCTTTTTGAGAATCTCGTTCATTGCTGTGATTTATGAGTAAGGGAAGCAAAAATTTGGTTAGGTCAGTCAAAATTCAAAAGGCTACCAGTGCTAACCGAAAATCGCCTGTGTACATGAATGCAATCCAACAAATGTTTTGATT